CCTCGTCACTTTGGAAGGAACCTGCCACGTCACTTGTTTCTTCAGGTCGCCATTGCCGCCATTGGTTGAAGTATGTTCAGAACTGTTAAAAGAAGAGAGGAAACCAGTATACAGTTCGCCAGTAGTAGAGCACTGAAATGCCCTAGCTTGTAGATCCAGCAGCAGTCCCCTAATCAGACACGATAACGCCTTTGTGTCGACCAGTTCACACCTCTCAATCAACGCCATTTTATCATGGTAATAGTGAGTCATGGTCTCGCCTGTCACGTTGATTCTCGCCAGCATTTCGGTTAACAACTCGGCGTAGCCGTGCTCCCTAGGAAACGTCTTGCTAAGGGACACCTTCCACGCCTGCCATGACAAATTGTAACCGTCCAACCTGTTAAACCAGGCTCTCACAGCGCCTTGCAACTTAGCCTGCATGAAGTAGGCCCGTTCATGCTCTGTCCAGCCATGAATCTCACCAAGTTGATCAATTTTGTTCAACCAACGAACCACATTACAGTCCCGGCTCTCTGGATCAAAAAGCTCGATCATCTTTCTATCCGCCCTTGCCCCCAAACAACCCGAACTGCATGACGAGTTTGACCTGACACGCTTCGTCTAGGTGCCAGATCCTGACGCCTGTGGAACTGCCTCGCTTTATCTCTCTCGCCTATGTCTCACGAGCCTGCCGCAACACCTTGGCAGCCTCCTTAGCCACTATTTGCTGGATGATTTTCGCCAAGCCGCTTTTCAACATGGTTTCCAACACATATGCTGGATCTGGAGTTCCAGTTTCCGCCATTGTCGCCATTTTCTCCTCAGGCTCGTAATCCAAATCTGAGTGGTCGCCATCATTTGAGTTTTCGCCCTGTTTTTCCGCCATTCTCCAACAACAACCCAAATAAAAATGGCGCCTTCTTGGTGTTGAGAGACCCTGAACAAAGGATGGGTTTTTTTAAAAATAATTACGCCGTTCGCCAAAGACAATTATTTTCGCCAATCAATGCTTACGCCAATAAAAAGGTACATAAATACGAAAACAATACAGAAATAACGCCTTACTCTGATTTTTTTTCGGATTTGCCACACAACACAAACACACGCCACACCCAAAAATCCACCCGCCAAAACACAACGCCTCGGTTTTTGGAGGTTGCCAACTAAGTAGCCAGTTTTAAATATGAATAAATATTTTTTCCTGATAATTGCATAAATAGAGACGCATACACAACCTTAGATCCCATGCGAACCTTTTCGACTGTTGGGTTGGAATACAATGAAGTTATATTTAGAAAATTGTGTTGGTGTGGACATGAGGTCAATAAAAATGTATTAGAATTTGAAACCAGAAATAGGTCTGATTCGCATCAGAACCCCAACGCATTAAGAAGTGAGCGCGGAAAGATGTAAGTTATTGATAGAAAAGGGAAAAGGAAAAGGAACATTTAATTACTGCATATCAGTATATTTAGACCACTGGCGGAAAACGAAGGCATGTATATATACTACATGTATATATACTATGTTACCTTGATAGCGAACATAATCGAATCATGAGGCTATACTATATAAAGGACAATAAAAGCATAAAAACTACATAATAGTTGATCAAATATCATGCACCCTGAGAGATTGGCATCAGGGTATCATCCTTTCTATCATCAATGATGGCTGCCAGCACTCTTTCGTATAGTTTATACTTCATCAATAAGATATACACACCAACAATGGAAATTATAGTCAGTACCATAGTAGTAGCTATCAAAGCAGAATGCCCATTTTGGATATCACTATAAGAGTCCTCTTCTGGTAGAGTTGATATATCTACCCATGTGTCTTCTTTCATTTTAACAAGATCATCATGGTGATAATAATTGAAACTAACATTAAAGGTGGTGATTTTTACTGGATCATGGTGTATTCCTATGTTATACAAGTCATTTTTATATATTAAAGATTCTCCCATATCCGGGGTAAGAAAAATCGTGGCATTTTCTAACAAGTGCATTTTCGTTGATACCTCATGATCTGCATTTCGGAATATTGTTACCACCTCATCGCTTGATCCAATAAGAAGCCCAGATCTCATTTGGTAAATATCTATCCTATCCTCATCATTATACTTTTTAGTTGTTATACTACAATCATTAGTATTATTCATCAACATGATATTTGTTAGACAATAATCTTCTGTTATAGTCATAATATTATTTGGACAAATAGTGTAAAACGGATAGTTCACACAATCAACAGGATCAGGATACCAAAAACCGCCCTTATTTGGAATGTGTGAGATAATAGATGGTAAGTGGAATTTATGCATATATGATCCGTTCTTCCAGGATACTGTACCAACTTGATATAGATCGCCAACTGATGAGGATAACAAATGTGGCAATACCATAATTCCTATTATGCTATACGGTGCTGTGTTTATATCTAATAATAAAAAATCACCTAATTGGTACGCCAAAGTTGGATCCATCATGTAAGGGCCAGAGCTAAGTTCTTTAGTATTTATAAGTATTTTAATCAAAGAGCTATATGGTATGAGATCAGGAACAATTTTCCCTAAAAATGCAAAATCTAAAGCCCTTATAAATTCCATTGGTACATAATTAGCCCATGATGATAGAAATGTATCTAACTCATAAAGAGATTGAGATGTGCAATTTAACCCCTCTATAATCTTATTGATCGAATTTGTGTGCTCGCTCACTATATGATGCACTTTGTTGAATTCGGAGATAATTGTATTGGAGTACATCACTATTTGAGATATTTTATTATTTATTAAGTTATTATGTTTCTCTATTTCTGAAATCTTGTCTTTAATGCCTGAGATATCATAACGATTCCATGCAGATACTCCTAAAGATAATGTGCTAGCACCTAGCGCAGCAAATGGAATTAATCTTTTATTCCGAGGATTACGGAGAGAGGAATCTGCATTTGGTTTGTAAGATGAATACATTTTATTTGGTACAATATATTTCAAGAAATCATTAATTACTGTTATTCTATCATTGATTGACTTCTGATAATCACAATGAGCTGTGTGATCTATATTATATGATGTTTGAATATTTATTTCTTGAGGTAAAGAGAAAGTTATAGGAATGTAGATATGACCATAATGAATGTAGGATACTCCAATTTTTTCAAGTATTATTCCATACTCTGAATTAAAAATTAGGTCTCTATCTCTTGCGAGGCAGTGAGACATCAAGTTTAAACCGACTAAAAGAATGAAAAGAAATCTCATGGTGAAAACAAAATAAAGCATACGGGACTGTGAACTGATTTTCATTGGCAGCATGCAGCGGATAACTTGATAATTTGTGCGGTCTAAGCCGCAGGCTATCTTTGGCATTTGGAAATTTCATCTGAAAAGTTGTCGCCTGTTTTATTATCTTTCCAGTTTTTATGGACCAATTTATGGTGGTCAGTCCAGAGAGTGAAGCTTTCTGCAGGTTTCTCTGAGCCGTCTAATGAAGCAGATTCCACTGAATCGCCTTCTTGTTGTTGTGAGATATATAAACAACTCAATTCTTTGACGCCAATTCATCAACAGCAGATGTTATCAGGAAATTTCAATGTTACAATTGAAGCTATTAGTGCATGAAGGTGTTAAGTCACTTTTTAACAATTCTGAAATATTTAGGGTTAAAGTAAAATTGTTGGAGCTTTTTCTGTTTAAACTAAAATTAAAATCAAGATGCGTCAAAACACAGACAAGAAATGTAAATTTAATATTACGAGTCAACTTTTATCATTTTTTATGTTTTTTTTTTTTTTCATTTTTGAATCAGTAGTTAACCCCTTCTTGCACAATTATAAAGAGTTAACACCTTCTTGCTCCAAATAAGTGCGACAAAACTTGAGTTAACGCGATTTAAACTTCAGTTTTCAAGGTACCTGGCAACATCTATGATCCAAAGTCTTTACTAACGCAAAGAATGAATTAACACCTTCATACATACCATTTTTCGGGATTTCAGCTAAAAATTGAGTTAACACCTTCATGCACTAATAGCTTCAATTGAAATGCTGAGTTTGGAATAAACTCAAATTTAAAACATCACATAACATCACATTCGGATATTCATCCTTCTGAATATAGTACTTGCAAAGCAAAATTTGAACAAAAAGGCGCTTTGAAGACGCACATATCAACACATTCGGATATTCATCTTTTGTATGTAACACTTGTAAAAACAAATTTAAGCGAAAAGACGTTTCGAAGACTCACCATATTAACAAACTTGAATATTTATCCTTATGAATGTGACACTTGCAAAGCAAAATTTAAAAGAAAAGATCATTTGACACGTCACTTAATGACACATTCAGATATTCATCCTTTTGAATGTGACATTTGCAAAGCCAAATTTAGAAGAAAAGGCATTTTGAAGATGCACATGTTAATACACTCAGATATCGATACCTTTGAATGTGACACTTGTAAAGTGAAATTTAAGCAACGATGCGATTTGAAGATGCACATTTTAGCACATTTAATTGCATCAGCAAAATATATAGGGTGTATTAATAGCAGTGATAGAACTTTAATTTTGAATAAAACACGAACCTTTTAAGTTAAAAAAATAATTTGTGTATTTATCGAAAAAATATTTTGTTTCGGACAAAACATCATTTGAATGTTATCCACTTGATGCCCTGCAAAACGAAGAGTGGCCTGGCGAAGTCCGTCCATCACAGCTGTTTCAAAATCTGCATCTGTTAAGACTGCAAAATTTTTCCTGATTGCGTCTGAAATTAAGTAAAAATAAATAAAAACTGGAAGAACTAATTTAGCATTGAAGTATTTTGAAGTGCACTGATTATACCTAATATCCAAATTTTAGTTTTTTTATTAATGGGCTAACTTGTTAAATGTTAAATCTCATGGTTAACATTAACTATGCTTTGTAAAATAATTTTTTTATTCAACTGATCGTTACAATAATTCCCTACACAACCTAGTCCTCAAATAAAAATGTCCTCTGTTACAGTCAGCGCGGAGCGACGCGCAATTCGGCGGTAACCATGTTCCCAAGCAGATCTAAAGCGTCCTCAGCAATCAAGTATTTTAGCAGCAGCGCAGGTTCCACATTGTCCAAGTTGCCCTGGAACACCGGAGCCATATTATTCTCCATTAGAAGCCAATTGTTATATCCAACATCCATTAGGTCCAATATCCTTCTGCGTGCCTCAGTGTGTTCGGGACAGCTGTATAGCCTATGTAACTGGTCTTCAGCCTCATTCATGTCGCAGAAGTTGCAAGTGTTCACCATCGACTGTCCAATTCTTTTATAATGCACCATTAGTTGCCCGTGTCCAGTAAGCATCTGGGTAACCTTCTTGTTGAATTTAATGTGGCAAGTCTGTCTCTCGATCACAGTAGGGAACATTCTTTTAGTGACTCTTCCTTTGTCGGACTCGTCCCAGATCCTTTGCCATCTCAAGAGTGTTCTCTCTTCGAGTTTCTCCTTTAACCTTTTCTTACCGAGCCTAGGTTGCGCTTCAAAAACAAAGTCTTCCTGGTCGATGTTCAGACCCGCCTTGTATTTTTTGACGTCTAGTGTCTCCATGATTATAAGGTCTATGGGCGGGATATTTGCCAGAACAGAGACAGCCTCTGTTGATGTTGTTACAAAAGCACCAATCATGGTTTTTGCCACTAGGCCTCTTATTGAGTTAAGTTTATTCTGCACTCTAGCGTGTCCTAGCTTGTTTTGAAAATGCTACATCCGTAAGTAAAATTGCATTATGGCGCCATGAAATATCGTTCGCAATGACGACTCGACAAATTGGTGAATTCTCGCAAGCGTCCTCCTCAATGACTGGAAGATCACCATTGCCTTGTTAGTTACAAAATTTATATGTTCTTGAAATGTGAGTTTTTCATCAATAATAATACCCAGGTATCTAGCGCTTCTGGAACAGCTGATGTTCCCACCAACCAGCTTCACAGACGGGTTTCGCAGCATCTTGGCTCCGTGAATCGTGTAAGTGTATTTGTTAAGTGAGTATTTAAGTTTGTTCAATACTGCCCAATCGTGAACGAGGCTGAGGGCCATATTCATTCAGTAAAAGAGGATCAACTATAAGGTTGCACAATGTTGGGCCAAGTTTGGAGGCCTGAGGGCATCCCCTCTCAAGTGTCTTTCTTGTGGTAATAGGTCCGAATTTATATGTGAATTCTCTGTCCTTAAGATAATTGACAATAATGTTGAATAGTTTCTTAGGCAGTTGTTTAGTTTTGAACAAATCCAGCATAGAGGGCCACCAGACGTTATCAAACGCGCCCTTCACATCGAGAAAAATAGCTGTATTGTATTTATTAGGCTTACTCACCTCTGCCAGAAAGGAGTCAATTGCTTCTTGCGTTCCCTTGCCTTTGATAAACCCAAATTGGTTCTCGTGATGCAATTGTCCATTCTCCACTGTCTCGTTGATCCTGCTTCTCACGAAGTGCTCAAGACCTTTCGCCAGGATACGAAGAAGCGTTAAAGGTCTAAGCGATGAGGGGTCATGCTCAGCATTGCCCTTAGGTATCGTTATAAGAATTCCTTTCTTCCACGCCCTAGGGAAGTAGGAGAGGTTAATACAGTCATTGTATATTCTAGCCAGATATTCAGCATGCCACGCTTTTTCGCTGATTGAAAAGTTTATAAAAAAAAAAATAATAATAATAATAAAAAAAATAAAAGTCAAAAATAAAATAAAATAAAATAAAATAAAGATAAAAAAAATAAAAATAAAAATAAAAATAAAAATAAATGAATGGAGAACTTGAGATTGTAAGACTGAAGGTCGAAGTGCGTGCAAATTATGCCCTAGCTCAGAACTAAATCATTCGGAGAGTAGGGGTGGGTTTTTAGTTTTGGGCGCCACCGACTCCACAAAACACCCCCCCTTAGAAGAAACTCTTAAACGTTCAACAATGGGACTGATAAAAGCGCCATCTTTCGACTGACCGCATAACTATTTTGCATATGGCGGGCGCGGGAATTTGAATATTTTTTTTGATTTAAGCTTTTCTCGGATTCAAAAAAAGGACCGTTCTAGAACGGTTCAAAACAATCGCACAGTTTATTATTAAAATTTGTGATAGCCGATCCCCGAGATGTTGTCATTTTGTTGATTCATAAACCGTGTGATTGTTTCGAATCATTCTAGATAGAATCGTCCTTTTTTCAAACCCGAAAAAAAGCTTTCAAACAAAGTTTGGGTATTTTAGGTTTCTAATGATGGACAATTACTTTAAAACTTAAATGTAGGACGAGCAGTTTGCAATTTTCCTGTTTTTGACAAAGACTAAAATCGAAAAATTGCAAGTCATATTCATACATATTATCAATTTTTAAGTAAAAACCACCATACAGAAACAGTACTAACAAGTAAAACATATTTAAAATTTTTTTATAACAACTAGTAATTATAAATTTACAATAGATTATTACAAAAAAAGGTTATAAATATTTCTATACATATAATACCAAAATATTTTACTAATAAATACATAAAGAAATACCTATATAATACATAAATGAACTGCCAGATGTTAGGTGTCGGAAAGGCACTTTCCGCAACAGTTAAGAACATTATTTCATACACTTTAGGTATTGAAAGTAAATTTTTACTTTATTTTCAGGGGATTAAATAAAAAAGGGATTGAAAGGGTAATTTTAATTTGAATAACTCCAAAGTACATAAAATAGTGTATACACCTAAGGGCTAAAGGTTTTTTAACCCCTCGACAAATTCTAAACTTTTTGTCTCGGGATTAAAAGTACCACTTTAGGCCGTAGGTATACATATAATATGTGGAAACCGGACGGAACAGAACATGAAATAACAGAACATGAATGAACAGAACGTGAAAAAGCAGAACATCAAAAAACAGAACAGTGAAAAAACAGAACAGTGATAAAACAGAACAAGGAAAAAAGAGAACTATGACATAACAGAACCGAGAAAATAGAGAACACTGAAATAAGAGAACCTTGACAAAACAGAACTCTGAAAAATAAGAACAACTGGAAATAATAAAGGATGAAAAACAAAAAATAGGTATCTAGTTATTGAACTTTAATGAATATTTTTTTACTCATGTAGGGTGTCATTGAAATGGTGTAAAGAAATTTGGGGGGTGATAGTACTCATAAAACTGGTTTAAAAAATTCCTATAAACATGGGTCGTAAAATGCATATTAAGGGAGTTAGGGGTGTTAAGGGGAAAAATTGAAAATCGTTTTTTTCTTTAATTGTAGGTTTGAACGAGATGAATTTTAGAAAAAAACCCTGTCTGGCATAGATTTTTTTTCTAAATCCTATATTTTCCCTTAAGAGAAGTGAAATTATAATAGCTAAATAACTCAAACAGGACTTATTTATACTTAATTTCCGAGAATATCAATGTTTTAGTTATGTTATATGGGTCTTTGTTGAAAGGGGCCTGAATAACTTAGGTCTTATTGCTTGATGTTAAAAGTAGGTAATTAGTTTCTGAGAATATTAATGTTAGGAAAATATAACTTTGTTGAGAGGGATTGTATGTTAATGAGATCGGTGGGTTTTGGTTAAAGTTTAAAAATGTAACAAAGAAAACACAATTACTCCCATATTATTCAATTGTTCAGGTTAGTTCAGTTTGAATATAAATTTGAGTAGTCAACTTTTATTCTTCAGTCGACTTTTCGAATTTCATTTGAACTGTTGTGTATCTAATTGTAAAATTGCTTTTTTCTGTGTATTTTGTGTTTAATCTTTATTTCACCTATCATTGCAATGGAATATTCTGTCACGCAGAAGGGAAATAGGGTTCTTGTGTACCAAGGGTATGAATATACGAAGTACAGAGAAAACAAAAGTGGAGTCATCATGTGGAGGTGCAGAATCTACTATTCTACCAAGTGTAAGGCCTTCTTGAGATCCCAAGAAGACAACATAATTGGTGAGGTTCCACAACATTGTCATGATTCCAAACCGCAAGTAGCTCAGGCTAATATTATTAAGGCCATATTGAAGCGTGACATGAAGGCAGTTGGTGCAACTCCAAGAAATGTATTGGGACATGTATTAACCAACCTAAGTTGCGATGTATTGGAACATTTGCCAAAGCAATCTTCCTTGACCAGAAATCTTTTCAACCACAAGAAAACGGCTCATATTCCGAATCCGACCACAACAAATTTTCGGATCCATGAAAATTATGCGGACTTGATTCTGCACGACACAGGAGCGGACGATCAAGAAAGGATTTTGGTAATTGGGAATGGAGAATTGCTGCGAGAATTGGATAAGGCTATAATCTATGGAGACGGAACATTCGACAAAGCCCCCAACATGTTTTACCAACTATATACGTGGCATGCTAAAGTTGGCAACAGCTATCCACCTTGCATTTACTTTTTGCTGCAAAAAAAGAACTGCGATACATACCGTCGAATGTTCACAATATTAAAGGATTTAGTGCCCAGCATCGCACCTCAGAAGATTCTGGTTGATTTTGAGAAAGCATGCATTTCTGCTGCTCGAACCGCCTTCCCAGAAGCAGAAATTAAGGGATGCTACTTCCATCTATCCCAGAGTTTGTTACGGAAAATTAATAGTGCTGGCTTGAAAACGGATTATGAGTCTGATATTGACGTGAAATTGAAACTGAAGTCTCTGGCTGCACTGTCGTTTGTACCAGAACACGACGTGCGATCTGTATTTGATGACCTAGCAGCAACTTTTCCCGATGATGATGGCCACAACGCCGTGTTGACGTATTTCTTCTCAACATACATAGAGGGCGCTGCTGAAAGATCACCGCAATTTCCAATCGGGTTGTGGAACCATTTCGGAACCGCTGCCGAAAGAAGCCCAAAAACAACAAATTGTTGTGAAGGCTTCCACAACGCCTTGAACTCCATCTTCCACTGCAGCCATCCTAGCATATGGAATTTGCTAGATGGATTAAGGCGAGACATTGCCTGCCAACGGTTGCTGCTATCCAATGCAGCAACTGGTCGCCCAGAAGTACGGAAGAAGAAGTATGAGAACCTCAGCAATCAAGGGGCAGCAGTTGTGGAAGAATATGAAAATTATGATGATAAACTGGTGTATTTGCGGCGAATGGCAAACTTACAGTAATTTTTTTTTTAATATATACATAAGTGAAAAAATATTCTAGGTATTTTGTGTTTTTCATCCTTTATTTTTTCCAGTTGTTGTTATTTTAAATTTTATATTCAAACCCGACTAACCTGAACAATTGAATAATATGGGAGTAATTGTGTTTTCTTTGTTACATTTTTAAACTTTAACCACCGATCTCATTAACATACAACCCCTCTCAACAAAGTTATATTTCTAATTATTAATATTCTCAGAAATTAATTACCTACTTTTAACATCAAGCAATAGGGCGTAAGTTATTCAGGCCCCTTTCAACAATGACCCATATAACATAACTATAACATTGATATTCTCGGAAATTAAGTATAGATAAGACCTGTTTGAGTTATTTAGCTATTATAATCTCACTTCTCTTAAGGGAAAATATATACATGAGTGAAAAAATATTCATTAAAGTTCAATAACTAGATACCTATTTTTTGTTTTTCATCCTTTATTTTTTCCAGTTGTTCTTATTTTTCAGAGTTCTGTTTTGTCAAGGTTCTCTTATTTCAGTGTTCTCTTTTTTCTCGGTTCTGTTATGTCATAGTTCTGTTTTTTCCTTGTTCTGTTTTATCACTGTTCTGTTTTTTCAGTATTCTGTTTTTTCATGTTCTGCTTTTTCACGTTCTGTTCATTCATGTTCTGTTATTTCATGGAACCATAATATGTATATCATCAAGAAATTTTCAAGTGCAAAACCCTGAGAATTAGGTATTTTTTTGGGTATCTTTCTAATATTTTTTTTGAAATATAAATGAAACCTTTTAAAGTTTTTATGAAATTTTTCACTGAAGGGACCGTTACAAATTTTTTCTTCTGATGGCAATAGAATTTCATGGTTTCCATTATTCTGATACATTGGTACCAAAACTCAAAGTGGGTTGAACCTGGGGTGACTCCTCCTTTCAAAGGTTTTCCTGGAGGTGCTGACTTGTGGCTGGAGTTGACCCTATCAAAAAGTTTGTCCAAAAATAATGTCAGCTCCGCAGTATCCAATGCATCAGGATCCAAATCGACTTGTGCCTCTAAAATAAAAACAAATTAATAAAAATAAAATAAACAAAACAATGTACTCACTCCGCGTCAGTATTTTTTTCATCAGTGACCCTACTTGGTGGCTAAATACCTGCGTGCAGCACTTTACTTTCATCTTGTTAATTTTTTCAGGTATAATATGCTGATCTGTTAGTTTTGGACAGACTTTTTCATTGGGATTTTCAGAATCTATTATATAAAATTGTTCATAATGTTTCCACTTTGCAGTACACTTTTTTTGGTTCATTTCAAAGTGAAGATCTTTTGTCAGTAAATTATTTCTTATTCCCTTGAAGAGGTGGGGAGTATCATATAGGGGAATGACTTCATGATTGTTAACTAAAAATCCAAAGTTTCTATTCTCGTCATTCTTTCTTTGAAATATTTTTTTTGTTTCTTCAAGCAACATATTAATGGCGGCCTGATTACCACTGCCTTGGTCACAAACTGTGGCAACAATTTCTAATCCAATTTGTTGGCATTCTTTTATGATGTCAACAATAAGTTGCTTTATTGCACTGCTTCTTGTTGGACCTGCATTAAAACTGTAGCATATTGGTTGCTTCCATTGTTTAAAAACACCTTTAAGCATGAACACATTTGCATAATCTGCTATCTCAGGTTTTCGGCTTCCTATACCTAAATCATGCATTCCTTCAATATGGTCTTCCCTTGAGTTGAACTGCAACAAACTGTCAATGGCCATCTCATCAAAAACTAAGATTGCCATTCGATCCTGGGGTTGCATTTTACGAACAGGCTCCTGCAGACTCTCGAATAGCGCCTTGTTTACCCCCACATGGGAAAGGTAACCGCCTTAGCAATTCAGTCAAAGTTTTTTTTGAAGGTAAGGTAAACATTTTTGATAGCAACTTGTAGCCTTTACCACTTGCCTTGAGAATTGTCAAAGCTAAGATTTTTTCTGACAGGGTATATCTCCTGGCTTTTGGCTTCTGCTTTTGAGTACGCACTTGAGATACTATAAATTTATACGTAAGGGAGTTTACATGTTCCATTAACATATCAAACTTTGGAGAATTTGCCAACTGTTCAGCAACTCGAATGCGAGACTGATAGGTTTTCAGTTTTGTGCTCAATTTGGCAAGCTTATTGCTTTTTTCAACAATTTTTTTGTAAAAATGTTTCGCCTTGGGAGTTAAAAATTTCTGCCTGGTAACTTTAACTTCTTTCAATATACCAACACCTGAAAAAAAATAAGTAAATTGAATATCCACTTGTTAAGGTCCTATATGGTAAGTATTCGCTTTCCAGTAACCTAGCAATAGGTTTGTTAAAATAACATATATTGTGATTAGTCTGGTAATACGAATATCAAGACAAATATTCTGTTGAAGATTTATTGATTCATCAATTATAGGTAAGTTCCCATAATAAGGTAACTACAGGATCATCTAACGAGAACTGAATAGGGTCAAATTTTTGACTTTCCCTGTATTTTTGAGAAAATCCAAAATAGCCATTTTAATAATAATAATATTAATAATAATAATAATAATAACAGAACTTTATACTGCACAAATAACAGACTTTACATCCTCAAAAAAAGTACAGTTAAGTGAACCTATAGTAGCGTAGCACACAAATACATACTACAAACAATGACTTAAGCACTATAATATAAATTATTTTTTTTCCTAAGAATCTGAAAATGCAATTTAGAAAACGAGTCAACTTAAAACAAAAGAGTTGTGATACAAACTTCTTTTTTTCATAATAGAAAGCCCTAAGTAAATTTTATTCAAGAGAATAATAATTCCGCTCTCCTTTGTTTTAAGTTCAATCAGTTTCTAAATTGCATTTTTAGATTCTATGGAAAAATAGTAGATTATACCACGAGTCAATAATGATAGCTATTATTCCCGAGGATTATTACGAACTGAGCCGCGTCAGCGGCGAGGGAGTAACATTCCGAGGGAATAATAGCCATTATTACGAGTAGTATACTCTACTTTATTTACGACAAATTAATTTATTTGAGATTTTCAATGAACAAATTTCATCCGTCTCATAATTTTCAATACAAATCCACAAGCACTACACGTTTGACACTGACACTTTTGTGGAATAATGACCATTAATCCCGCTACTCGTCATTAATCCCTGGAGGAATAACATATGTCATTATACTGCCAAAATCACAAATATAATAGGCACATTATACATTAGTCGTAAATAAAATACATTATAAAATGGCTATTTTGGTTACAAGGAAATTTAAACATTTTCCCCTATTCAGTCTTCCTTGGATGATTCTATTCAGGTAGGGGGTCAGGTACCAATGGCATTTACAACCAATGAATTGTTACAACTTTTGGTACCTGCAAACAATTTAAAATGCAAAAATCGTATACTCATTTTAGTCATTTTGTAAGGAAACCTAAAATGCAAATGAGCATCAGACCCTTTTTGTTCCCTTATACAGTTAAACTAATTTAAATTTTAACAATTTGGTCAAAACTTAAAAGCATTCTTGTGAGAAAAAAAATAGTTAGTCCTCAGGTATAGACTTGGACTGTTTTGCATAAATTTACATAGATATACTGAATACCCTCTCATTACCAAATGAACAATAGACACAAGAATTGACCTGAACCACTTTGCCTATTTTATTTTTATAATGATTATGTTTGAAATATGGCTTACCTTTTTTAATAACGCCTTGAGTAATTGAAACATTGTCATCATTTCTTCCACATGTGCTGATAATCTTATGATCAGAAACTGCCACATTACTGCCAACTGGTGAAACATCTGTAAATAACAATATATTTGTAAGATTTTTTTCCTGTAAGTCTAATTTGAAAAAGAAATTCTTCAAAAAGCAATACGCCAAAGCTTACCATGAGAATAAGATTTACTCGAAGAAATACATAAAGTATTTGGTGCTTTTGATGGACCTGGTAGAGAATCCACTTCAGATACTTGCAACTTTTCAACATGAAGTTGCCCTTGAGGCTCTTCTAGTGTAAATAACAATATATTTGTAAGAATTTTTCTTTGGGTCTAAGTTGAAAAAGAATTGCTCCAAAAAGCAATACTTCAAAGCTTACCATGAGAATGAAATTGTTTCTGAGACATACATGAAGTACTTGGAGGTTTCGATGGACCTGGTAGGGAATCCACTTCGACTTCGGGTACTTCAACTTGCAACTTTCTAGCAAGAAGTTGCTCTGGCAGTTGTTGCTCTTGGGGCTCTTCTACTAATTAACTGGGTAAATAAAAAACAGTCTACTACATAATAATTATCTATTTTACCTGCATTATCATTGAGAAACAAAACTGGAACAGCATCTGGCTTAAGGCCTCGTCTTGTGCCATACTGTCTTTGATCTGGTAGAAAATGTCTCTCACACGCAACACAATTTTGATACAAAGTCTCAAAAGGCATCGTCATAAGCTTGGGATTGTTTATTTTGTTTAACCAGATATCAACCAAATATTTCTGGTTTTTATTGGGAAAACGAAAGCGGCTACCATCCTTATCCAAACAACCAGGAACACAACACTTTTTTTTGGAAGGTCTTTTTTCCCCAGCACAAAACATATTCCAACTTTCACTTCGAAAAAATACCACAAAAGAAATAAGCACAAAAAAAACACGTGTATACTGAACAAACAGTAAACAAGAAATGAAAATCGAAATATTTTGGCAGTCCGCAAAAATAGAAATGTCATTTTGTACTTCTACAAGAAAGACAGAGACAGACGATGCCAGAACTACAGTGACTCAATATCAATTTAAAAGTTTATTGAGTCACTGTACCTGGACGACTAACAGCGCTCCCAGTGACTGACCGCAGCACTTTTTCATATTCCCAGGAGCGTGCATTGAAGTGAAACTTCTAAGGGGGGGTGTTTTGTGACCGACTCTGAACAGATGAGTCGGACTCTCCAGGATGGTATCTGGCTTCAGGTCCTTACAATTCAAATAATAATTAAGAAAAAGAAAAATATTAGCAAAAACCAGGCTGTGTGCATAAAACCAAATAAAAGTCAATTAATCAAGTGCTATAGTATATTTATTACCAAATGGCCGCAGTCCACAATGAAGTATATGTATTGTGATAATAATTTCGAAACAAAAATAATCAAGTAAATTTTCAATATTATCTACGAAAACTATTTGAAAAAGAAACTAGAAAAAAAAACTATTTAAGAGAAAGAACAATCACTGGAGCTATCATTAATTAATAAATGGAGTGACCTTTTGAGGGAGGCGCAATCGACAAATACAGTACGGCTACTATTGGAATAATAGCTATAGTTATAACAATTAAATTTAACTGTGAAAATATTATTGAAACTCAATAACTAACTGAGTAATAAAAAAGAGGTATATATGAAATGTAAGGTTTGAAAATCAAAAAAAAAGAAAGTAAAAAAAAAAAACAATAACAAAGAATTAGTTTTCGGAACGGTTATCTTACACTTACGTAACCAGAACTACAAGTAAGTTGACATAAATTAATCAGGTTATGTCTAGTTAAGTTACCTATTTAATAATTCATTTGCCACATTGGAGCAAGCAATGAATCACTCCCTGAAATATCGATAGTGATCACTGTGATGTACAAATAGGGACAGAATGTGAAGAAACAATAATAATATATACACTCATCAAAATAGTCTAGGGAACAAGAAATATTTGTCTTTCAATTTTAGGCAAGAACAACTTTTTAAAAAAGATAAAGTGAGTATTATTTATTGAGCAAATTTTGTCAAATTTACCATGTCGGCTGGCTCAAAAGGCTATCGAACCAATGATCGACCCGGGGTTCACTAGAACTTGCACCGAGATCAATAACAAAATAACCGAACAGAGTAAGTACGAACGGAGTAGTTCTGTACATACACTTGAAAACGGGTTATTATGATTTCGGAACATAACCCCACGAAATATTTTTTTGACAAATGAATTATTTTTGTTATGAAAACAGATGGTCGAATTAAGAATTAGAATCAAAATATTGATTTGTTTTGATTTTGAAATTGAATTAAAACATGGATTAACAGGAACTAGTAACAAATGAAAATAGAATTTGCCCATTGAAAATAAGGAAATTTACAGGATCTACAACCAACGAGATTGTTGAAATTTTATAGAGAGAAAATGTTGACAAATTTAAGGAAATCTTGAATACAAAATTGAAAGTAGGTAAGAATTAGTTGTGCAATTTTGGCCTGTTACAAGGAATAGCAACCGATACAGTCCTCAAAAATATCCCCGGTAATTCATCAATACCGGAAGCACTTTTGGGATTTAAGCTTATCAGGAAGGCCAAGACCTCTTCCTCTGTGATTGGTGCCAATTCACGTTCTTCTAGTGTGTTATACATTTTGGCTTGATCTCTTAAAATAAGGTGCTCAACATTGTCTTCTGCATGATCATCAGTAGTGATGAATCTATTAAGAATCCCATTAGCCGTATCATTAAAGTTTATTGTGTTGGTATCTGCATCAGAGACAGTTTGGAACTGGTTTTTACCTTTCTTAAGCTTCTTCGCGGCCATTTTGTAAGGCATGCTCCACGGATTACGCCACATGCTATCAGTAACAAAATCGTCCCATGATTTTTCTTTCACCTTTCTGAGGTATCTATTGAAGTTGTCTCTGGCTCCGATGTATATCGCTCTGAGGCGTTCTTCTTCATCAACGACCTGCTTCGCCTGATATTGCCTTCTGCTTCTATAGGCTCTTAGTTTTAACTCATCCAATCTCTCATTCCACCAAATGGACTTTCCACTAAATATCTTCCTGATCGGAATGCATCTTTCTGCGATCTCATGCAGCATGGATGTGAGAGCGTTGACTCTCGCATCAATATTCTCCGTGTTTGGCTCCCATATGATGTCACGTTCAAGAGCGCCCATTCCAATAATGACCATATCCAAAGCCTTCTTGGCATTGATTTTAGTTTTAACCTTTGCAAACACCGGTTTGGCTTTTAACTCTGCAAGGCCAGCAATTGCATATTCAAAAGTTATCAGTCTGTGATCACTAAGCGTGTTTGGCCACACTCTCCATCCATCCGCTTTGTCAAGCACTTCTCGTTAGCATACAGTTAAGTCGATATTGCTACTGCCTAACACGCTGTGGTAGGTATCATACTCAGATTTTGTGTTTAATATAAAAAGCCTAGCAGAGTTCAAGAACTCTACTAGGCTATTTCCTCTATCATCATTGTTCTTATCAAACCACGACTGATGGTGCGCGTTGGAGGATCAACGGCAGATTGTACTGTTCACTAAAACCTGTTATCATGTTGAGATATGGCTCAGTGTCAAAGGTGTCCTTCGGGGGCCAGTATTGAGAACCCAGCTTGATCTTTGTGCCGCCAACACTAACTATCGCCGTTGCCGTTGTTATTAAATTGGGTGAGTTTTAAAGTCTCAATTTTCTTGCTTATCACCACGACGCAGGCCTGAAATGGCTCTGCTTGGTCAGCCACTAAGGAATATCCAGAGGACGATACAGGTAGTATGTATTCTCCACCGACCTTATGCGTATAAGGGTCTTGAAGAAGTAAAAGGTCTATGCCATTATCAATTGCCTCAGTCACGCAGCGGATTGTCGCGTTATGATCATGATGTAAATTCTGCTGTCCAACTCTCAATTTGGTTGTTTTATCCATTAGCGTTTCCAAAATCAATACTCGCCACAAATTGTTCCATTTTACGCTTGAATGCCAGACATTTGCCGTCTCGGGGGTGATGGTTGACATCGTCCAACATTGTTTTGACGCCTGATTATGTCTTCTGGGGTGCCGGCATTCTGATATACGTATTTGGCAGGGTGGTAATAACAGAAAAGACTTTGCTTACAATCTTGGAAACTTTGCTTTGATCCATGTGCATAAAATTGCAAATATCAATTTGATATTCACTGCTTGCATAAAACATTAAAGCGGTAAGTAACTGATTTGCTAGAAATACACTATTATTTCTAAAACACAAGATGGTGCTATCATACAAACAAGGAAAAAAAAACAGTTTGGATTATTATATACTTAGGTAGGTACATAAAATATTATGTATTACTTACATTTTCAAATTCCAACTGATCTTTGATCATTTCTAAAATTGATATTACTGTGGGTTTTGTTAATCGAAATTTTCTAAAGAAGTAGAGATGTCGTGGAAATCCAAAATCAATTATGTTTAAGATCTTCAGGTCATCTTCAAGGATAATTTTATCCTCCATTTCCATGTTTTGTTTTTTTTTTTTTTTTTCAAAAATGAGAAGAATCAACAATATCAACAAACATAGTCACGTTATATCAGAGGATTTCGAAAAAAAAAATGGAAGTTTCCAAACCCTATAGGCGCGGCGTCAAGGAAACAATGCTTTTTTTCTTACAAGCTTTTATTTTAATCGCATAATATTGCATGCACAAATTTATTTAAAAAAAAAAAAAACTCTCAATCTGAAAAAATATTCATTTCAAAAATATCATACAGGTCCCGTTTTCCTCTCTTAATGGCAGGATTAATATTCATAATAATATCCACCGATTTGTAAAATGTTTCGTCTTTAGGGTTTGGCCACTTCCATTGCTTGTCATTTGGTAACATAACATTTACTTTGGCCCAGAAAAACGAAGTTTAGTAATTTGTCCTGGGAAATACTTTTCCTAATATTTAACAACTTTCTAGTTTCCCCAACACTTATCAAGCTTCTCAGATGTCACATGAACAAGTTTCTGAGCTCACTTCATCATTATCAGTAACATTTGGAATACGACGAGAAACTGACGGTTTGCGTGTCTTTTCCTCGGTCATTTCAATCAATGGTGTTAGATTTTCGTTTGAGTTTGTGCAATTAGAAAAATTAAGTAACTTTATTTCTAAACAATTTTTTATGTTTCTCACAACAAATTTTCAAGATGATCCTGATTGAGATGGCTAGTAACAAGATATTTACACTTAAATGATTCTGCTAGATATTCCCGTAAACTAAGAATGGACGTAAGTGTCCAAATCAATACATCAATACAATAAATATTATTTCTTTTGTGTCCATATTCATCAAAAACTTCCAGGGATTTAAAATATTCGAGTTCAAACTTAAGATTATTTAATGATCTTGTTAGTTTTGTCATGACTCAATAAATATAATTCAAATAATAATTCAAACCGGCAACGCTGTGCACCCTGTCAAAACCCATCCAGTTCAAATGTGATGGCACCCGATCAACAAAAAGGGAGTGAGAATAACGGTTTAGCCGGGCGAAAAAGAGACAGACATATTTGCTTTAACTTGTTCTTGTTACTGTCTTGTATTCACTTGTAATTTATGACTTGCATTTGTATTCTGGTAGAATAAACACGTAATAAAAAACGTCTCCTATTTTTCTTGTTAATCTATAGCAAAATTATACATAAAAAAGTATTTTAAAACCCAGCAAAATAGAAATACAGTCCACAATCGAACAAATCAACATTTTGGTCCAACGACACGGATAATTTGTGTATTGCAAGTGTGGCTTTGTGCAATAATCCGAATTTGGAAAACAACAAAACAAACGTATAGTGTTCGGCCCGCTCAAGGGCATAACCGACCGTCGCTAAAAGTAGAACAGCTGGAAAAACGTTCATCACGTGAGTCGTTCCTTTTTTATTTCTTGTCCAATCAACGTTTGTTTCCTATTTATTTCTCTAGGGCGGTTTTGTTTTGTGCTTGCAAACTAATAATTTTCCTCATTTATAATTATTGAACAATATTTTAGCGCATTTGTTCGCGTATTTTTCTTTATACGGCAACTAGTAAAGATATTGTTTGTTGATATTATTGGTTAAATTTAATAAAAAAATATAACTCGTTTTTCCCCAGAATGGAAAAAAACGATTATTTCGGATCATGCCTAAGGCTTGACCCCCTAATGAGATTACACTACGTCTTTCGTGGGTGCAAACATTCGATTTCTTACGGATTATCCCCATTCCACGTCATTGTCGCTCACATTGGCAACGCTGCGTCTCGCGCAGGCGTCTGCTCGCCAGGCCGCTAGGCGGCGTCAGTGAGCGTGTTTCAGTACCTTTCATTAGGGACATTGTCGTCAAGGACTCAATGGGGGGGTCAAGCCTTAGGCATGATCCGAAATAATCGTTTTTTTCCATTCTGAGGAAAAACGAGTTATATTTCGGCTCAGTGCCGTCGGCTTGACCCCCTAATGAGAAGTGTTTGGTTTCTGACGACGTGGAATGCGTACTGTGAAGTCTGTGGATTGATAGTAGAGTTCAATAAATTAACCAGGTGTATGATGAGTATTTTCAAACATTTATTTTATTGACGAACAACAAATGAAAATGAAATGCTTAACATTCAAAAAAAAAAAAAAATATTAACACAAAATATTATGGAATACTTGTTAATTAAGGCATAGCCACAAAAATATCATCAACTATTTCCGATTGTGTAGTTGGAGAATCCGTTTTATCTATCTCCTTGTAATAATATTTGAAAAAGTTCTGGCTACCCCGCCAATTTCCATTTTCTAGAATGGTGTCCAGAGGGATATTGTTATTCCACCTAGCCGATGCCACTGCTGATCGAATACTGCCTGGAGAGAATGAAATTCCAGCGTCCTTGAAAGCAGTTCTTATCCATCCTGCTATAATGCCCCTAGATGCGGGACTTATTTTCCCCCTGGAGGTAATGAATAAGTTGTTCAGATTTGGCACGGTTTTCCTTCTTTCTTGGGACACTAGAATCAGCTGATTTATCCAGAAAACAGGATCCAAACTTGTATCTGAGGCTTTGAGTAGTTTCCAGCCGGATTGGCGGCGCCCCTTTCCATCTGTTTTCGAACCATATTCTGGCCAAAAAGTGATAGAGTTGTTATCACTCTCTTTGGAGTTCACGTCGATGCTTAATAGAGTGAGGTCGTGAATCCTGCGTCCTGAGGCTAATAGGAGGATCAACGCTACTCTTCTGGAAACTTGAAATATGCTACTTTTATCAATTTTTTCTTTTTTCATCCAGTTTATCAAAGTACTTATGTTCCATATCATTTTCTTTTTTGGTTTGGGTTTTGAAATTTCAATCGCCTTGATTAAATGTTTTATCAAGGGATTTTTAACAGTAGTTTCACTCTCTAGCGGGTTTGAAAACGTTACTACCACTGATTTGTGTAATTTTATAGTGGAGGGTGCTAAATGTTTTTCTCTGTGCAAGAAGGCAAGGTATTTAGCTATCTGTTCAGGTGTCGGTTCGTTAGGAGGAATATTCATTTCAGATGTCCAAGATAGCCATTCTTTCCAGGGCGCCGAATAAGTTTTCAGAGTGGTAGTTCTCCAGGAGTTTTGCAACAATTTAACGTCTTCGTGATTCCAGTTTTCCACTAATCTAGACCACCCCGTATTCTCCAGGCCTCCAAATTTAATAGGTGTGCTTTTGGAAGCGGACGTGAGGTCGTCGCGTCCACTAGATGTTGGTGTAGGTTTTGAATGGGAATCGGGGGGTCCGTTGCTCTGGACATTAGATCTGCCCGCCAAAACACTCGTTCCCATTTCGGAGCGATCAGGATGAATGTTCCTGTGGCCTGATTCAGGTGGTTGAGGACTTGTGGAATCAGGCAAGGAGGTGGGAATATCCAAGCCAGTCGGAAAGACCATCTTTGACTGAATGCATTTATGTACATCGCCGCTGTGTCCTTGCTGTCCCTGGTTACGTAAATTGGTACCACCTTCGATAACTTCGAAGCGAATAGGTCTATTTGTGGCGTTCCCCAAACTTTGAAGATTTGCTTCGTCGCCATTTCGGACAAATGCCAGTCGGGAGCACTTTTTTTGGCGGGACAGGTTGTCCGCGACTGAGTTGTAATTGCTGGGAATGTAGTGTGCAGTCAATGATATTCCCCATCGGTGTGCGAGTGTTAGTAGTCGATTCGTGAGGTCTAACAGGGGACGAGATTTCGTACCGCCCTGATTTCGAATGTACGATATCACTGTTCGGTTGTCTGATTGAAGTAGCACCGCTTTTCCCTTCAGGCTCTTTCTTTGCAGCCAAATTGTTTGGTAAACAGCAAATAGTTCTTTCTGGTTGATGTGCCAGTGTTTTTGCTGCCGTTCCCAAGTTCTTTTTAGGTGCACGTTTCCTATTTGTGCCCCCCACCCTTTGTCTGACGCATCGGTTGTCATAAAGTTCGATGGGTTGTGGCGAAACAGAGGCGACGTTGTATTCAAATGGGTGATCCACCAGCGACATTCCTCGAGCGCGGTCTCGGGTATTGGATATAATTTTCTGGGCTTCGATTCCGGAAGAAGCAAGCTGGCTAGTTGAAGGTTTCTGCTTCGAAGTCTTCCCAGTGGAATTGCCGTGGCAGCGAAATTGAGTTTTCCAAGGAGTCTTTTTGCGCTGGCCCAACTCCAGTGAAGACTTTTTATTATTTTGAAAATTTCCCGACTTATCGAAGTTTTCTTTTCCGAGGGAAGGGATATACTGCAGTGGTCTGTGTCCCATATTAGTCCCAAAAATTCGATTTTCGTTTTGGGAAGAATTGACGACTTTTCTTCGTTTAGAACCCATCCCAGCTTGGTAAGCATCGTTTTTGCAACTCGAGTGTGTCGGAGAAGTATCTGACGGTTTTGGTTTGCAATGAGAAAGTCGTCGAGATAAACTATTAATCGTATC